ATCCGTGGGTATGAATGTTTTTATAGGTGTTCATTACGACGATATGGTGCGAGATTGGGCATCGAGCCCCATTATCGGTAAAATCAGTGATTTTACCAGCAATGGGGGAACACTATATCAACGTATAAACAGATACAAAAACAATTAACATAAAATCGAAAAATTAAATTAAAATAAAAACATATAAACTAAATTAATAAATATTTGAATGAATTAATAAATAAAAATAACTTATTAATAATCGAAATAAAATATAAAAGATGTCCAATTAGTGTTTGATCAATAACAAAATGTCTTTATTTTGTAAACATTGTAACAAACAAAATGACCACGAAACGATTTTCTGTCTCAAAACACAATGTAAGATTTGTAATGAAAATGGACACATAAATATTTATTGTCCAACGTTACCATGTCGTATATGTAAAACCCAAGAGCATACATTGAAAGATTGTAAATATCGAAATATTTATTCAAAGAATTATTTTAATCAAAAACCAAATTATAAAGGAAATATGAGATGTGGATGTTTATATGAAGAAGTCAAAAAAAAGATAGATGAATTATTGCAATGTTATCCAAATACAACCAAATATAGAAGATATCATTGTTGTGAATGTAAATCTATTTTAACTATTGGTCAAATTTATGAATTAGAAGAAAATATTTTTAAATGTAAAGAATGTTATGAAAGATTTATTTATAATTTAAATGATGATGATAATAGAAAAATTCAATATTTGATGAGTTCTGAATATCAAAGATATCTTGCTAAATGTGTTATTTGTAAAAAAGAACATAAACGAGTATATTATTTAGATGGAATTGGTGATTTTTGTAATATACATCATCAAGTAGCATATAAAGTATATCAAGATATTGAGAATCCGAATAAAAAATTATGGCTTCGTATTCGACATTGGACAGATATGAGTAAAACAAGATTATCAGCATATCCGATAAATCAAACTGCTATTTTGAGAACTGTTTTAATAATGAAGAATTTATTGAATAATATGTCATACGATGAAGCTTTAGAAGAACAAAATGGAGATTTTTTTAATAGTGTTGGTACTACAGATGATAATGATTGGTATGAAGAAGATTATACATTTGAAAGAATTATTGATAATTTGATATTACCAGAAGAAATAATTGAACGAGAAAGATTGAGAAAATTGATAATCGAGTCTTTTAATTTTGGATCTAATATTGATATCGAAGATATTTTAACAAAATTACAAAAAAATTATGGTTCGTTAAAGAGAATTACATTTTGTAAATCTTGTTGGTTAGTTGATTTAGTTGAAAGAGTTAAAAATAATTTATGTAGTAAGTGTAATAATGATGGTAATAATGATGATACAAATAATAATGAAATTAATAATGAAGAGATTAATAATAATGATATAAATGTGCGTATAAATGAATTGATGAAACAGATTAGTGAAATTAAGTTAGAATCAGAAAAAATTAAAATAGAAAATGATAAATATAGAAAACCTTTTGTATTTCTTAAACAATTTTTAAATTCAGTAAATAGTATTAATAATGATGATGACAATTTAATTTTATTATAGATATTTTATTAATAAATATACAAATATTTACTTTAGAAAGTAGTGAATTGATTACTATATTCGAGTAATTTATTTAATTTATTTTCAGATGTTTCATTATCAGAAAATTTTATATCTAAATTATTTAAAATTTGGTCTATAACTAATATATTATTTTTTATTTCTATTTTTATTTGATTATATTCTTCGAGTGATATTTGTTCATTTTTTTGATCATTTTTACTCAATTCTAATATTTTTCGATATGTATAATGTGAGATTTCATGCAGTATTCTTTCTGAATGATAATAAGGATTTAGATTCCAAGTATTTAATGCAATAGGTCCAATATTATTTTTTGTATCATTTTTAAAATCAGTGAAAGTTTTATCGTTAAAACCTTTAAAAGTATTATTATTATTTATCCAATTTACAAAATTTTTAATTCTTATTATTGAATACTTCATCCATGGATCTTGTTTATGATAATATTCCCAGAAATCAACAGCTATTTTGACTATCTGATCAATTTCAGTTTCATTTATTTTTTTTTTATTTTTTAATAATTTAAGGTAATAACAATGAGTAATTTCATGAAGCATTAATTCTTGTGTAAAAACAGGATTTGGATTATAAGAATTTAATACAATTGATCCTATTTCACATGATACTTCTTGTATCAACCAACCAAATTCATTTATTTGATAATACCATGTTTGATGATTGTAATTAACTATATAATTAATAAATTTTCTAAGTCCTTTTTTTGAACGATTTATATCAACTGTATGTTTTGTATTCCAATAATTAGTCCAATTATCAATACTTTCATCGATAATTTCATTAATTTCATTTTCAGTTAATGCATTCATATTTTTTTAGAATATTTTTTTTATTATAAAACAATATTTATATAAATATAATTCAAATTTAATTGTTTATATAATTATACTTAAATTTTGAATTAAAAAAAATAATTAATAATGACAAAAAGTAAAAAAAAAGAATCGGGAAAATCCAATATATCATTAGTAGAAATTGAAATTGATACTGATGAATATGAAAATAATGAATATATTGATTTTTTAACACCTGAACGACTAAAAGAAATCGAATTATGGTTACAGAATAGTAAAAATTATAAAAAATCTGGAGTTTTCAAACGTTTACATAATGATATCTCATTGTTGATAAAAGAAAGAGATTTTCATATGAAGCAAATAAAAAATATTACTAAATTTCATTAATAATAATTTTAAATAATTTATTAATATTTATTTAAAAAATTTGTACATTCAATGATTTTATTTATTTTATCTTCGAGTGTATCATTTTGAATATATTCAATATTTAAATTTATCAAAATTTTATTTATTTTAATAAAAAAATCATCATTAAGACAATTTCTATTATTATTTTCTATTGTTTTTTTTAATTGAATTGTTTGAGTGATTAATTCTTGATTTTTATTTTTATTCAATGCAATTATTTCTTGATAAACACGATGTGCAACTTGGTGAATCATTCCTTCGGCCCAGTAATGAATACCTTTATCATATGCATTTGTTAAAATAGTTTGAACTTGAGTTAATGCTTGATTTCTCATACTATCAATATATCCATCACCATAATCACCAATTTTATATGAATTATTAATCATTTTAATGTAATTTCTAAGTCCATTCCTTGCTACGGATGTATTACGATTTTGAGTACCAAATGTATGAGTCCAATGATTGATCGTACGGTCAATGATTATTTCTATTTTATAATTAGATAGTTTTTCCATATTTTATTTATATCAAATATTAAAAAAAATATTTATAAAGAAGAGATTTGTATGTTTAGAATTAATAATTAATAATGTCTTCAAGTAATTCTAAATTAAAAATTTGTGAGCAGAATGATTTACATGAAGAGTTAAGAAAAATACATGATGATCTTGAATGTATTTTAAATGAAAATCATGAAAGAAAATATTATGTAAAAAGAATAAATGATAAGGAAGAAACATCTCTTACCGAATTTATCGAATTTTATAAAAGTACATGGCTAGACGGTGTACAAAAGGCAGTAAATACAGGAAATAGTGTCTTTCCGGTTATAGGTGGTGCAGTTGGTGGTTTGGTAGCAGCAAGTATTGGATATTTATCAATCAATACTGTGTTTGATATGTATAAGAATGAAAAATTTGAAAGAATGTTAAAAAAAGCTTATAGTAGAAATTAGTAATATTATTAAATGTTTTTTTCTATAAATAAAATAAATTTATTGTAAAAAAAAAAAATAATAATAAATTTACAATGTCAATTGATTTTAAATTACTTTCGTATCAAATAAATAACGAATTAAAAAAACAATTTGATATTGATGTAAATGATGAAACATATCGTCAATTGGGATTAAAAAATCCAGAAATTGAAGATGAAGATAATTTTAAATGGATTAAAGAAGAAGTTACGAACACGATGTTAAATTATTCTTCTTTACTTACTATTGAAGATGAAATAAATAATTTAAACGAATATAAAAATTCTGAAAAATTCAAATATCTTGTTAATCGTGAAGCAATGCGACAATATAGACAATTCAAAAAGCAAAAATTAAATGAAGAAATTGAATATTATGAATTAAAAAAAGAATATGAAACAGAAGATGATCAATATGTTATTGAAGAGGATCTTGATAATATTATTCAAATATTAAAATATGATATTGATTTAAAATTTAAGGAAATGATAGAACAAGAAGCATTAAAATACTTAAAAGAAAAATATCCAAATCAAGTAATTACTAAAAAAAAACTTGATGATTAATAATTAAATTTGATTATATAATAAACAGATTATTTTTATTTAATTATTATATTTTAAAATGAAAATATTATATTTTATTTTACTTTTATTTATTCATATTATATATTGTCATGAAATCATCGATTGTTTATATGAATTTAAAATCGAATCTGAATTAATAAAATCTAAAATGTTAAGAAGACAAATTTATTCATATGATGAATTACAAATTATCACGAAAAAATGTAATATCATACTTGACAAATATTCAAGAGAAGAATGGTTATCACTATATCGAAATAATCAAAATTTATTTAAAAATTATCTTACATTTATCAAAATTATGATAAAAATACATTTACATAGAATCAATAAATTAAACAAACTTATAAAAATAGAAGATGAACGTATAACAAATTCAGAATTTTAATTATTAATAAAATATAAAATATTTTTATTCAATATAAAATTATTAATATCAAATTTTTATAAATAAAATTTGATAAGTAAAAAAAATAAAGTTTTAAATTGATTTATTTATTTGATTTAATAATATTTATAACAATATTAGTAATTATTCAATAAAATAATATTTATAAAATGTTAAGTTTTTAGAAAAACAATTATGAGAAAAATATTCTAAGATGCCACAAGAAATACCAATATTTGAAGAAAGTCTAAAAATAAGAAATGATAATTATCAAACAAGATTTTTCCAATCACATATGTCTAAATACATTTCGAATATAATGTATAAAAAACATTTCTTTGATTTAGAATTTAAATTTTCTGAAGAAGAACCAAATATTATAAAATCATATTTAAGTTTTGGAAATAATACCGAAATTAGAAATATGACTTTATTAAATGAAATAAGATGTGAAA